GATTATCATAGGCAGGGAAATTCCATGCCTAGGATGTGTGTCTGTGAAAAGCCTGTACAATACAGAGGCAACCCTTTCAGATAAATAAAAGTCAAATAAAAAAAAAATGGTTTTGCCTAAGAAAAAAACAGGAAACTGAACCACATCTACCTAGTAGCACTAGGTCAGGATGATGACTAACACAAGCCAGAGAACCACATGTCCTTGCAATACCTAGGCACGATGGATGACCTTTGCAGCTGGCTAGGAAAAAGTGAGTGGTGAGTCAAACCACTCCCTGATTTTACACGTATGGGTTGCTTTCCCTTCCTCAAAAAAACAAGAGACAGCAGACAGTAACTGGCGTGTTGGGATGTTCCAAGTCAGCAAGCTGCAAAGTTAATGGACTGCTTTTTAGGGCATGGTGACCCATAGGAATGAGCAGGAGTAACAACATGCTTCTGGATGGGAATCGCATGCCTCTGATATTGTGTATCTTCAGGAATATAAGGTGGTGTCTCACCTCTGTCTGTTTAGGGCCACTACACTCTCCCTAAGATCGCATCTATCCTCTTCTTTGTTTTCTCATATACTTACTCTTTGGTCACTCTCAAGCTCAAAATAGAGTGCTTTCTTCCCTCATTTAAGGAGTAACTGTTATTTTGTAGATTTATGCAGAAAAATCAGCACATACATTTATCTTGACTTTTTTCCTGTGTTAAAATGTCACGTCCATAGCAAAGGTGAGCATAAGGAACTGGTATGTTTGGGCTCTCTGAGAAGGTGTGAAGATACAAATTGTGTCCTCAGAGGTCTATTATTTTCAGTTGTACCCTGCATCAGTACATGTTTCTGCTAAAGCGTCAGCTTGAGGGATCTGTTACAGAAACAAAAGAGGGCGTTATGTGTCAAGAAAAGATGACAGGAGCAGGGGGAATGAGCTCACTACCTTCTATGGCACTGGCAACATCCAAGTTGTGTCCTGTGTCTTCCTATCTGTAGTCTACAGGCTGGGCTACCTCAGCCCCATCAAAACAGAATTCTGGTCTTCTCTCTACCACATTACCCTGCTGATGTGACTCTCCTCAACAACACAGAAAAGGTTTTTTCTGTTGAAGCTGTCAGCTCCCTGAAGATATTGAAGAAAGGTACTGAGGTGATCTTAGTAGAATAGAGGGTGGGAAGAGGGGCAGTTCATCCGTCAGAAAAGTGACTGAACATGGGATACAAAAAAAAGGAGTAGCAGGAAAAAGTTGAAGTTCTGCTTTTCTTCATGTCTTTCTCTAAGTTAGTTGCTGAAATGTGGGAGAGGCGCCGGCCACTATTCACATCTCAAAATCTCCTTCAGAACAGCACTCTAACAAAGAGGATTCTCTTCACTAGAGAATATAACTGCTGCTTGTGACCGAGGTTTCACTCAGTCTCCAAACTACATCAGGCTGGGAAGCAATACCAGGTTGAAGGACGTTAGCACCAGGGAGGTGAGAGCTACGAAGACAGTGCAGAATATTCTACTCTCAGGGCTGACGGTTGGTTGGTGGAAAATGCCGAAGAGTACATTTGACGTAATCTTGTTTCACCCCTAAATTTATGTGCAAGTGCTGTCAAAAAAGTGTCTGTCACATAGATTAAGTAAATTAAAGCCACATGAAGAAATAAAACCAAAATAGATGATCCGAGGTCACCCGGTATTCTTTCTCAACAGTTGCATTCTAGCTAGAGGAAAACACTAGGGCAAATTAATGTCTGTTACAAACAGATGCATTCTCTTTGAAATAAATGCACCCACTTACGCTCTGCCTGCATTAAGTCTGTTACTGTTTTTTTATGAGATTTGGCAAGCGCAGTGCTATCTGTTAATATCTGAAGGTGGGAGTGCTCAGGGAGTTGTCTGAAAGGCTTGCAAGACGAGATCTGATCATATCCACCCACACTAATTAACACATTACATAAAAGTACAACAAGTTTCTCTTTGCAAACATCAGAAGCACTTGCCCAGGCACCTTCTGTGAAGTTCTAGAAGAACTATAGGGACAGACTCACTTTTTAACCTCGACAGAACAACGGATGAGTAGGTAGGGTATAGTCCCCACTTTCAGGCCTTACTCCTTTTCTTCACCTTGCTAAAAACATGCCATCAGCAGGGATACAGCTGGAAGGACCTTTTTGAAGTTCACCAAGGGTGCACGAGGGAACTTGATTTTTTTTTCTCATCAAAAACAAAATACAAAATTAAACATTGAACATGAGGAACCAGATTTACTTAAAAAGGACTCATACTGTCCCTGCCCTGCCTCGCTAATTCTGAAAATTACTTTGTAGAAACACCAGCCTCTGAAAACACCTGGAACTGACAAATCCTCCCATTTAAATAGAGTCTTTTTATGTCAGGAGAACATATGTCCAAAAACGGCTCACATTTCTCTATCATTCCAATTTTAAAACAGCAGCAATCTCCTGTATAAAAATGATAGTAAAGGGTCTTCTTCATAGATTGGAGCAAGTAAAACTGGAACAGCTTTGATAATTTCGTATGAAACTTCTGTGACCTGCCTCTACAGCTTCACCTAGATTCCTCCAGCAGGATAATAAATATATATCCTGATTTAGATTTACTCCAGACTCTCTGTATGACATCTGGCTTCAAGATGGTGGCACTCAAAAGTGCAGTAATGACACAGAAAAACAGAAGGGAAAAAAATAATTGTGCAGTGGAAAGCAGGAGGCAGTGGAGAGAGCAGGGAAAACCAAAATTAAAATAAGTCAAAGGGCGGAAATTCCTTTGAGAAGGCCTTAGGCTTCAAGAAAGCTTGTCCACATTTGCAGCACTTCAAGATTACCCAATATTAACCTTATGTGAAAAGGGACAGTAGACCTCAGCAGGCATTCCAGAGGAGCCTTTCTATAAAAAAAACCCCAAAACCCAAAAACAATCTTTAAATACATCCATCCAAATTTGCAAATAGCTCACTGGATGCAGAGCACTCTACCTCGCAACACTCACAAGAGAAGAAACTCTCTTACTCAACTCTTCCTTACTATCTGAAAAACAAAGTCAATGTTTTCCTCATTATTTTCTGTTTGCTGCATACCTCTCCCCCACTGTGACTGCTATGTG